ACACACACACACACACACACACACACACACACAACTGTTCTGCTTGGCCCGCGGAAGCTCACCCAAGATTGCAAGTACAGGCCCTTCAGGGCCGGTCCGGTTGGCCGAACGGTCCACCAAAAAACTGTGCCAACAATTTTCGGGGGTCCACCAGGCACTAGAACATTGCCTGGGGACCCCAATTTTTTTTTTGAATTTTCTCAAAATGGGGCCCAACCGGACACCTCAAACCAGACACCGGATCCGGACATCCAGACTGGACCGTCTGGATCCCGATCCGGACGTCCGGTTGACAACCATGGTATTTTGCCCCCTCCAGAGGCAGGTAGTGGCCTTTATCTGGAGAAGGGACCACGAATGTAATAGCGCAATTAGTAGAGTTGCTTGGCACGCAATTATTCAGCCGAAATCCAAAAGGGGCCGGGAGATTTTGGATCCCAGCACACAAATTATGGCCTTGGCCCTGAAATGGGTTAAAAGCCTCCTTTTCGATATAGACATCCCCTGACAGCAGCTGACCTTACAACAGATTAAAAGGTTGCCCCCCCCCACCCCTGAGAGTATAGACCCGATCGGGTGGCTAGAAGACAGGTATTGAAGTATACCAAGAAGGACGACGGGGTCGGATGAACAACAGGAATCTGATAGACAAGCGGTAAGGCGGGACATAAAAAATGACCCTTTTTGGATCACACTTCTCAACACCTGGCGCAAGCTACCACTCCCAGACAAGGTGGCCCCGCGACGGTGGGAAGAGGTGTTTAGTCAGCCGTTATTCGAGAACAGGTGGATTATTGACCCCCAGGGCACAATCCTTCTTTGCACAGAAACCCCATGGAGGGGATGGGCGAGTCGGGGCGTCCTTAGAGCGGGTGGCATTTGGGATTTGGACACCAGGGATTGGATCATTGAAACCCAATTCAGAGAGCGATTGCAATATTGTCATAATATTGGAGAAGTTTTTTAGAGAATAATTTTTTCGATACCACTGGACTGGGTAAGGATCCTGAGGAAAGGACGACTCTGAATGAAAGTGACTGGGTAGGAATCAGGGGGTCTGTGGACCGGGTGGGAAATGCGGTGGTGTCTAGTCGCCCGAATGACGAGGTGTTGGTAAATCTCTTTCAAATTAGGAACAAAAATCGTTGGTCAAGACGGACCCGGATGAGACAAGGTGGTTTAAAGAAGAGGAAATCTTTCGAATTAGGGTGCTCAAGGAAGGAGAACAGCGGTGGGCGTTTAGACCCGACACCTCGATTGCACACCTAGCCTTTGATCCGACCTCTTGGGTCTGGACTACCCAGCTTGGCAGAGGTAGAACAAGAAAACAACAAATTTTCTCAATGACAGTTAAAGGAGCCTACCGTTTGCTACGTCCAAGGGTGAATCTAAAGGATGTGGTAATGGATCGTTGGATCAGGCACCTAAATCTGGAAAGGAATGCCCTGCGACATATCAAATAGTTCAGGCTCAGTAAATCACTACCAGCCAAGATTGCATCCTTACAATGGCAAGTGGAGCACCGTTGCCTACCCACAAATGCTTGGCTGATTGACCGTACATCCTTGGAACAGAAGGGCCTAGCTCTCCCCTGGTGTAAACTATGTGTGACATCATACACAGCCAGGCGGAGACCTGAGACAATTGAACACATCTTTTTGCAGTGCCCTGGGTTAGTTTGGTTATGGAGATGGTGGGATCGAGTGTGGCGCCTGTTAGGTGCATCAACCCCTTGGCCATGGGACTGGAAATCAATTCTGTGTGAAACCTGGCAGTCGGAACAGGCGGGCAATTTTGAGAGAAATATGTTCACTGTGGGACGAAGAGCAATCTTTTGGGCAATCTGGTGGAAAAGATGCACTAGGGAGATGGAAGGAGTTCGCCTTGAGGGACCTGCCGTTATAGAAGCAATCAAGCAACAGATTGAGGTTGACCTCATGGTTCAATGGGATAAGGTTAAGGAAAAAATAGTCTTTTTACACTCAAGAACAGAAGTCAAATTGCAAATCCAATCCTTCTGTAATGGCTGGCTGGGAGGGGAGCATGGGAGGTTGATAGCGAATGTGCAATGGAAAGGGGGGGAGGGAGGGGAGGGAGGGAATAAGGACAGTTTTGAAAGGGACTACCACCTTCAGTTTCATGATTGGACTAGAATTGACTCCTCCACCCCATTGCGGCCTCTCTCTGACTTCCCTGATCCCTTTCTGCCATCAGCAAGCTCAATGGTTGAGACCATTTGGTATGCAGGCGCTTAAAGAGAGTTTCATCTGTGTGTTGCCTTTTCTGGTATTTCTGACATTTTGCTTAGTTCAATACTCAGGTTACCACAGTAATCAATGCAGGGGGGGGAAGAATTAGTGTAACGGTTAGTATTTGGCGCCTGTTTTCGGGTGAAGAGATTCTCTCCCCCTCTTTCTAATCTCCTGCTCGGTTAATCCCCTGGATTCCAGGGTAATCAATGCTGGCAGGAACCTTCTACACCTTTTTCCTGATATGCTTCATTCATTTTGTATATGGAACGCTGGACCCGTTTTCCAGCAGGTGATGCTCCCCACTAATAGATTGAGCCGCCCCCCCAGGTGCTAGTGGTGTCTGCTCTTAGAATCAGATCCCACCTCTATTCTTTTTGGCGAGAAACGGCCTTTTTTGGGATCCCACCTCTTTCCGCGTGAGGCGGAGAGGGCCCTCTTTTCTCGCGGATGTGGAAACGGAAGTGGACGTGTCGAGCCGGCCGCGTTTGCAGGCCAGAAAGTTTTTTGAAAACGCAAAGGAAGATGACCCCGTCTTTTCCCCGAAAAAGAAGGCGGGGTTTTCCTTTTCTTTTCTTTTTTTTTGTACATGTCCGCAAGAGGCACTTGGAACGTCCGCAGGCCGCACAACACCCGACCAATTGTCCGGGTGGACCGACTTCGGGAAGTAGGTCTCTTGTCACGCCCATACATTTCCGACGCAAATCCTGAGAAAGAACCGAATATGGTGGACTGGTGGGATCCCATTTCTCTTTTACGGTCCGGCCGGAACGGGCCCTACAAAACCGTTCTTTTTCGTGTCTTTCCAAAAAGAATAGAGGTGGGATCTGACTCTTATCAGCACCACTAACAGTGAGGGGGCCGTTTTATTAAAAAAATAATAATAAATAAAATCATTGTGCTTAGCCTTTTTGTGACTTGGGCTATGGTTTTGTCTAAGCCTCCTTTTCATCTCCCCTCCTTTCTCTTTCTCTTTCTCTATCTCTTTCTGGTGTTGGATGAGTTGTTGTTCCCACTTGTCATCACATTTTCCAAGCGCACTCTCACCTGAGCCTTGTGCTCGTAGACTGTGTGCATGCATTCTACTTTCACGTCAGTCATTTGTAGGCAGACAGCGATGTACAATTTGCCATTGTAATGAAGAAAATTTACCAGGACGTTGCCTTACATTTTTGAAAAAAATTATGCTGTTGAGTATGTTCCTGTCTATATTCAGATGCTTGGCCCATTGTTCTTGAATAATAGCTGAAATATCCACTTTTCGGTCAGAGCATTCGATACGCCGCCTTTACTGTAAGAGACTGCAGGGTCCTTGGTCTACCTTTTTTGCTCATCTGCCACACCCATTCTACCGGATCTATTTGGTAAAGAATTTCGATGTGACCCTGAGGCAAAAGTTGTTCAGTTTATTTTTCTGCATTTTTTTTTTTTCAGTTTTTTTTTTTGGGTCGGGGCCTTCTATTGTCCTTGCACGGCCGGGCAGCCGGGCAAACAAGGTGACCCGACGGCCCCGCTGGTAGCCTAGCTTTCCAGTGCTTTGGGGTTAACCTAGGGCTGAAAAGTGGGGGTTCCTGTTAAACAGTTGTGAGATGGACAGATGGACAGACGGCCAGACAGACAGCTGACAGCTGCTGGCAGACAGGCAGACATGCAGGCCAAAGGAAAGAGAGAGAAAAGAGAGAGTAGGGGGGGTTGACATATTTGAGAATTTGAGATCGCTCACTCTGGCGCAACATATCCAAATGTGCCAAGTATCTTGGTGCTCATGCAACCTGTTTCATCTTCTTGCTCAGGTCTCCTGGCCAGTGTGGCAAGGCCAAAGTCTGCCACCTTTGCAACAAAGTCATGGTCCAGCAAGATGTTGGACGACTTGAAGTCTCGATGGATGATCGGTGGGTCGGCAATGTCATGCAGGTACCGAAGTCCTCGAGCAGACCCCAATGCAATTCTCATCCGCGTACTCCAATCCAGTGGGACGCCGCCACCTGTCATGCCAGCAGGCCATGCACGTGCCCATGCATGCCGCACAATAAGTGAAGACCGACGAAGTCAGGGAAACTGTGACGATAAAATCTATGTCATCAAACCGGCAGCACATCTGTAGCCGTATGGATTCTGCTTTTCTTTTTTTTCAATAGCCGTATTGATTCCTTCAACGAGGACCTGCTGGAGGTTCAATTTGTTTTGTTTTGTTTTGTTTTGTTTTCTCTTGTTTGGTTTCGTTCTTCTCAGCTTCTCTCTCTCTTTTCTTTTTTTCTTTTTTTTCCGTTTCTCCTCAGCTTTGTGTGCTTGGAATTCCAAAGCAATGAGTCATTCATTCTTACTCATTTTGCTGCCCTCTGGCTAGAACAACCCTCAAGAGCACAATCCGGACTGGTATACAAGGTAAGAGCATTTCTATTCGGGCCTGGGCCAGTAGTTAAAGCATCAGGCCACTTCGAAAAGGTGCAGTTGAAGGCCTTTGAGCCTTGGAAGTTAGCTTTTCGTTGACTTAGGCTCGTGTGAACTGGTGGTTAAAAAAAAAAAAAAAGATAAGCCAGCGGCCTAGCTAGCTCAGTTAGTTGCAAGTGGCATTCAGGAGGTTGTGGGTTTGAGGCCCCTAAAGGCCTGCGGCGCACTTAGTGCCAATCAGCGGTGCCAATCAGTGGTGATAGTCGGTTTGATATCTCTGATCGGTATCAGTAGGGTCTTTGGCCAACACGGGTGTGAGTGCGCGTGTGAGTGGGTTGTGTGTGGTGTGTCGGAGAGTGTTCGCCTTAGACACTATTGCTATTCGATTGGGTGGGGGGAGGGGGGAGGGACGATGAAAAGGGAGGTGCAGCTACTGGCAAAATGCTCAGCCTTTGCGTTAGCCGGGCCCGCACTGGCAGCTCCACCACATCTCTGACTACCGCTGTTGTGGTGAAGGACAACATGCAATCCCTTCATTGTGAGCTAGCTATGCTTGCAGTGGTCCCCTCTATATAGCCTTAGGAGTAGTGGTAGCCAGCTTGCAGTGGTCCCCTGTATATAGCCATAGGAGAAGTGGTAGGTAGGTAGTGAAAGGCAAAAAAGAATTTGAGAGAAGAATATAGAGTAGTTACAAAAAAATGAAATTAAGAATTGAAAAAAAAAAAGCATGGTTACGCCGGACCCGGACCCGGACCGGACCGTACCCGAAACCGGATGCACGTTCGGACCGGTCCGGACGTCTGGAATTCCGGACATGATCCGGACCTTCCGGACATAGCGGACGCGGACGGTCCGGAAAAATAAACAACAACAACAACAACAACAACAACAACAACAACTGCCAGGGGGGGTGACATTCTTCCGTAAATGTACCCAACTTTTCAGTGTTTTCACCGATCCAAACTCAGCTCAACAAACAAAAACAGAACACTGCATAACAGAAACAAAAAAAAAAAAAACAGAACTGGCAGGAAGTACGGAACAGGGGGTATAGGCGCTGCTGTCACTGACCTGAAGGCCATGTCCGACCACCCCCGCGTGCACTCTTCATGAAAAAGAAAAAAAACTTTGACAATCACACAACAGTGACAACACGCAGGTTAAACAATAGAGTGCATGTTCACATCAAAGAGGGGAACCAGTTATAATAAGTCTGATTAACTTAGCAAAAATGTCTTTTAAAAGGAGAAGTTGAACTCGGAACTCCATACTTGGAAGACCAAAGTTCAACGTGAGAACTCTGAAGCACATGGCCTTCTCTCTCTCTCTCTCTCTCTCTCTCTCTCTCTCTCTCTCTCTCTCTCTCTCTCTCTCTCTCTCTCTCT